CTCATTTGGCAGCAATATCTGACCTGAAACGTGTGTGAATATGAGTACATCTTATGGTGGACAAAAGTATTTTTAATCCTAGGTTCTAGATGTGGCTATGGATGTTCTTTAAAACAGTACTTCCCTAAAATCTAAAAAATTCTGGCCATAAAAATTTTGGATAAGGGATTATAGACCTGTACTACTACTACTGGATCTTTACCTAGTGCTCTCTAGAGAGATTTACTTATGTGTGATTTTTATTCTTACATGTGATTTTTACATCCCAATACAGCCCTGTGATACTGGCCCAGTAAGTTTCATCCTTACTTTACAGATGGGCAGTTCAGGTGTTTATACTATGTTTTTTAAGTGCAAATGTCTGTCTACTAAACACTGGTGGATAAATGCAGACCCTGACATAGTAGAGAGGCCACATGGCAAAGCAGTTCATGAAGCTCATAATTCACACTGTCTGGAATGAGTCATCCAAATGAATTTCCACCAACCACAACTCTATGTGCGGAGGGGACTAATGGAATATCCAGACTCAGAATGCTGGCACTACTATTAGCTCCTAGCCAGAACAGATCTCTCATGTCCACTCAGCTAAAGCACAACTGCTGACAGAGGAGGAGTCACGTATGAAAAAGTCTCTTTTTGGAGCCAGCTCTTTCACTAAATCTTGATTTTCTTTTTGGTCAGGAATTTACAGTGGCTCAGATTAGCTTGATGCCACTCTCTGCTTGAGCTTTTACAGTTCTGAGAGAAACCACTTCAGGGTCCAGATCTCTGTTCTCTCCAGAAAAATTTAAGTGTAGGGGTGCCTGGGTGGTTCAGTCAGTTAAGTGTCCAACTCTTGATTTCAGATCAGGTCATGACCTCAGGTTGTGAGATCAAGCCCCGCATTGGGTGTGGATTCTTTCTCCTCCTTTCCCTCTGGCCTCCCCTCCGCCCTCACCGAAAAAAGTGTAGAGTCCTTAAATTAATCCAAAGTTCATCTGAGCAAAACTATGTATTTTAGATATCCCTGAGCTCTACAAGCAAGTTCTAGCTGGTGTGCAGAAAGACACATTTAGCCCATACTGTAGTCAGCCATTCATGTTAATGATGATAACAGCAGAAAGTGAATGTTTTATAACCAAGCCAAATTTGCATTAGGCCTCCAAACTTTAGGGAATCAGGAGACTCCCTACCCTTACAATAGCACTCACTGGACGTGAGAAAAGGGATGAGTCCTGAATAATCCATAGCTGTTATGTTATAATCAGTCCTGCAGTAAAAGTTAAAAATAAATGGTCTTAGGAGAATTGTACATATATTTCATGTTGCTTAATTTCTAACCAAAATATTAAGCTCAAGGAAAATCTTATTTAGCTAGAATTGTATGACACAAAGCGTAGTAAATGGTTTCCTTCACATCGTGCCTACGGTTTCTTTCCTTTTGCACCCTCTGTGCTAGGCATACACTTCTACCCATAGCCCTTACCTGCTAATGCCTTCTCTTTGATGAAGAGAATGTGCTACAGGTTTCTGAAGCCACAAGCCAAGCACAGGCCTAAGTATTTGCTGGATAATAGGATATATGCAGACTTGTCACTGCTGACATTTCAGTGTGAAGAAAGAAGGCTTTACCATCAATTTGCACAGAGAATGGAGTTCAGCTCGTTTATGTGGCAGTTCTTCAGTGTCCTTCAGAGAATAGGTAGCCTTTAAGATGGTGTTCAAATTTCTTAGAGCAAGCAAAATGACATTTTAAGTATATCATACATCCTAAATAAGTCATACAAACAGGTATAAAAACAAGCGAAGATAAAAAATCACAGAAAAGGAAAAACTCATGTACTTACAAGATGTCAAAAGATGTCAGCTCTATACTAAGGGCACATAATAAATGAGCTTATGGAAAACTGGTATTAGAAAATGAGGCTACTCCCTCAGCCCATGACTTGGGGGGGATGACCCTCTAAGATTTTGCAAAGGATAAACTTGATTTTTATTAAAGAGTTGATTTTATGATTTAAAAAATTAATCAGTGGAATTATACAGAAAGAAAAGGTCATTTTTAGAATAAAAGGCTTAAAATTTAGAAATTCTTGTTCTTCCCCGTATTATATGATTTTCCACCCTGTCAATTTTCATAAATATGAATTATGTATGGGAAACTTTTTATTTCTGTTTTGGCACTTAGTAGTGATACAGAGCCAATCAGTTACACACCTCTAGGGTCATCACCATACACCTTCCCCATGGAAATTCACCAACCCTCACTTATAAAATGCCCAGTCTTAATTTACCATTTAAAGGAAAGTATTGTGACAAAAGTGTCTTGCAAAATTATTGATATGAACTGTACTACAAAAGACAGGGGAAATTTACATAGTTTAGAGAAAGAGAAATGGGTGAATAGAGGTCCAAAAACCAAAGGATCTCCCAGGAGGAAAAAAGACAAAAATACATCACCCAAGATGAGGTCAAAGGGACCAGAAGCCACTCAAACACTAGTTCATGTGATATATTTAGGAGAAGAAGGAACAGAGATTATACATATTTGCACTGTGAACAGTATGTATTATACAAACTTAAAATCTGTTAAGTAAAACCTAGTGAATCAATCTAATGAAAATCACACGGTATTACGTAGACAAGTATGTTTAAAAAAATATTTTAATAAGCATATTCAGAATGGCAGACAGGGAATGGGAAAAGGAATTATTTTACAGTGCAAAAATTACTAGGCATAAATTTAAAAACATCTAATTCATAATTTTAAATGCCTATTTAAATATTCAAATACATTTTAAAGCTCAACACACTTGTGTTGAACTGAGTTGCAGATTCTGAACTCTACTTGAAAACACATTATAAAACAATATCATTTCAGATGAAAATAATAGTGCTTTGCTGAGGGTGGGTATGGGGTGGGGGAAACTAAGTATTAACAAAGGCTTCTTTTCCCAATGCAGTTTGTTAAGAGTTCAAGAGTTATGAAATGTACTAAATCTTAAAGCAAATTAAATTCATGATATTACTAAAAATTTTAAAGTAGTGCAATGACTTATCAAGTTATAGTGGCTGCATTATGAAGAACAAAGTGTGTGAAATACCTGTTTAAACACAAAATACAATTAAATATTTGTTCACGAAAAGCTGAGCATTATGTATTATAATAGTGGAATGTCTTTCATTAGGCATACTTTAAAAAGATAAGATTAAGAAAAGTAAAATTTCCTAACATGTATACATGTGCCATATGTGCAGACATGCCTGAGAATGTACTAAAAATGTTCCTGTAGTATTAGTTTCCAAGAACTTCACAAACCTGCAAACAAAATGCATCTTTAAAAAAAGGTGAAAATAGCATCTCTAATATTGCAACAACTTAAAAAGTACAGCATCACTCTTCATTTGAAACACTTCTCTAGATCATCCTTGACAGAGAGCTAGGATACTTTGGATTCATGTAATAACTGATTGATTTAGAAAATGGATTGTGACCATCTGCTAAAGCTGCCATTCTGGATAAATTAATGTTGTAGGTAAAACAAAACAAGCAACAAAAAATTCACACTTCTCAACACTTCCACCCAAAACTTTGATTTACTCAGGTATGTATGTAACAGTGAATGTGCATTAAATGAAGTCAAGTGTTGTAAAGTGGCTTTTTAACACTGTTTGGGGAAAAGAGTTGTTCACATTGGTGGAAGGAAGCAGACTGAACATATGTTAATAGTAATACTTCATGGGGTAACCTAAACCATAACTTCTCAGTGCAAATCTTTACTCAATTGCATAAAACAGTTGAGCCATTAAAAACAAGACCACAGAAGATTTATTTTAAAAAGGCATTAGCTCTTGAACTGATGGCTGAAAATGAATCAGTAGAAGCATTTGGGGTATGCCTGTGTGAAAAAACAAGAATAGTTAATAATCTTTTATAAAAGTTTGGATATAGGTTGGTCTATCAGCTGTATAAAACTACATTTTTAACAAGAATTTTGCACTAAAAATAAAATGGCACTCTTGCAAGGTTATGCAAATGGATGGTCCTATTTGTAATCACACAGAGCAATGGTTATACATCTTATTTTGGAACATCTCTTTTTCGTCATAAAACCAATATTGTTATCTGCCAACTCCTTGTGTGCGCCAACATCTAAATATTGCTTGACCTTTTCCTGTTTAGTTAATGCAAAAATGGGAAATTTTATAATGCATATAAAAATAACTGAACAGGATTCTGGTCATCATGATATATTGAATGAAGCACTTAAACCAACATCAAACTTTTGTCTTGCTTCAAAAATAATTTTGAAAATTATAGCAAATGCAAAACAAACTATGCAATCTAGGTATCATGCTTAATTTCAAAATTCTCAAACTATTTGTCCTTAAGTAGAAATTTGAAAAAACAAATTTTCACAATCCTTTATGAATGCTTTTACCACCTGTATAAGAAACATGACTTAGTTACTACACAAACACTTAAAAATTCATTAGAAAAACCTTAGCAAAATAAAATGAAAGCTGACAGACTCAGAATATCAATTCCTCTCATAAAAGTTTACCAACTGTACAAGTTAAGAAAATTATACAAGCTTTTGTATTAAGAAAGGACAGCTCAGTCAAGACATATGTACTGTAAAAATCTTTCAAAGGCTACAAAGAATCTGGAAAAATACAGAATGTATTTCTTAAGCCCAGATAAGAATATGGAAAGACATCATTGATGTCAACAATTTTACATATACAAACCTGACTTGGTTTATTTTTAAACTTCTATATATAAAAAAATCATGCTAGCATAACTTTCAGGATTCATAAGGGTTTCCTTAATAATGACACTCAATTTGTATGGAGAGAAAAATGTCTCTTTTGAAAGATAAAGACATTTCAAGAAACTCAGAAAAACTGGTGTTAAACAGAAATTTGAATGTGGTTTTTTCTTCTCTACCAAAAACTAAGCAAAAAGTACCTGTAGTGAGCTTTTAAGATTAATACATCAAATGAGAAGGTACAGATCTGTAGTTCATTCAAATTTACTAAACTATTTGTTTTATCCTTAACAGGGTCTTTACACTTTTAAAGTAAAAAGTCTACAAAGGGCAGAATTATGAAATCTTACTAAAGTTAGGACTCAATTCAAATTTTCAAAATTTTAACCAACTGCTTCAAGGAAATCAACTTTTTAAGGTAACCCATCAACCCTGAAAATTTTAGTCACACCAGATTTTACTCCAAAGAAAGTAAAACAAGTCTAAAATTTAGTCATCTGTGTTTTCAAGTTCTTCAAATTTCCCATGTGACATTGCTTCTTGGAAAAATTCAGAAGAACCGGGACTTTCTTTTCCATTGCTGTTTACCCTTCGCCTTTTGGCAGGTCTCTCACTTTTTTCATCAAAATCATTTTCATTTCTTGCAGTCATATGGGCAAGTTTTGGGTCAGTGGTAAGGTTATCTGTTTCATAACCATTAGTATCCATGTCTGCATGAAGTGGTCTCTTATTTCCACCTGTTGGTCCATTAACGTGTAACCCTTCAACTTTGATTTCTTCTTTGTTCAACATTTCACCTGGTCCATTAGATGACACCCCTACATTGGAAGAAACATAAGTGAAACTGCTAGTATTAAAAAACTAACTTTGTAAACTATTCTAAAACAGCTATTGTAAAACAGCTTTTCATCAAGAATGAGAGGTGTCAAATCTATGTGTACATATGGTCTGGTCTGAACTCTAGCTCTATTTACTGAGTAACTGTGTCACCTTGGGCAAAAGTTACTTACATTCTTTGTACCTCAGTTTCATCACATATACAATGAGGGTAATAAGAGACTTACCTTACAGGCTTGCTATGAAAATTAAGTAAGTTAATGAATATAAAGAATTAAGAGAACAGATTCTGGCATATATTAGGAGCATGTTGGTGTTATGTAACAACAAATGAGCACTGGGTCCAGTGGTCTAAATAAGCTAAATTAAAGCAAAGATACACACAAATTAGCAAAATGGTAATAACTTTCTAAAACTATATAAAAAAAAATTGACATTCGTTAGAAGCTTGAGTTTTCTACTGCCATATAAAATGACATGACTTTTATTCTTAATGTAAGTAAACCCATGGGTATTGTGCTTTAAGGGTAAAGATCACACATTATATTTATCTAAATAGATTTAAATAATCTGTCACAATGTTAAAAAATTAATGCTTGCACTGTCCAAACATACATTTGAAAGTCATAAAAGCAAACACAAATTCCTCCATAACAGGTGAGAAAAGAGAATAATTATTTACTACAAGTTACAGTAAAAAAAGGCACATTAGAGTTGACTGCAAAATGAACTAGACATTTTGGATACTTAATGTAAATACAGAATGTGCCACTGGAGATAAATTTTAATTTAATTATTAAATAATTAAGGATAAAGGATGAGCCTCAAATATTACATTTTGGTCAAAGAAAATATTCTATGTCCCCAACTCAAAAGTGCACTCAAATCATAAATGCATATGGGGATTATGCACCATGATGCAGAAGAAATGATACTGTTATAGTAAGCCCAAAGAGCTATGTGACCACCGTGAGTAGGTAAAAAATAAGATTTCAAGACACTAAGCCCCTTACGAAAGAAATAAAATTGCACTGGAGAATTCCTTCCTTTCCTTGAAAAACCTCGGAATCTTGATTATGGGTACCTAGGTGAATGGCTTCTGGGATACTGAATAATTTATAAGTAATTTATAAACACTTCCTTAGGTTAACTGCATATTCTCATCAAATGGTTAAAAAAGAAAACAAAAAAGAAACAATTTGGTATCATGAGCACACAGGGAAAGTAGTATCAACTGTATGCGTCCCTGAGCTTCTTGCCTTAGTTGTAAGGTCTGACTCTTAGCTTCTTATTCTGTTTCAGGATAGCATTAAATAACATGCCCTCAAACCTGTTTAGAACCAAAAAATGGCTGCTTAGCCCTCTTTTTTGTTTGTTTGGCTTGTTCTTAGGGGGAAGTAGTGAAGGAACAGAGAGGGGTCATCAAATGAACAAAGTATATTCACTCCAGCAGTGCCAGTGTGAGACCAAAGGTCACAATAAGGGATAATCATTCAGTGTTGTTCTAATTTCTGTTGGGGAGCTTAGCTGTCCACTGGCCCTCCTCTAAGACTGTTATATCAGAATGCAGGTGCAGAACTTATCTCCAATCCACTAGTTTCCTCTTTTAGAGGAGTGAAAGGCTTTATTAGTCTCTGCTTGGCAACTGTCTTACTTAGGAAGACCATTTTAATTAAAGCAGAAATCAAAATAATTCTCTGACTAGGTCTTATCAGCACAATGATCTTTGGTCCACTGTATATTTTAAACAAGAACATTACCTGAACCTCAAACATAATGGAATGTCATTTCCTTCTTTCTCAGAGATAAAAATAGAAATGTTTCTGTACAGTTTTAATGCAGATCCTGACACGTGCTTTATCTTTTCTCATCCTTCAAGGTTATTACGCTATCAGAGAGAAAACTATTCAAAACCGTGCCCTTGTTACCTACTTCTTTTCACCAAATGCTTAAAGCACTTTCCTGATAAAGTGTTACAGCTTTCAAAGTATTTCATAAATACCTGTGTACTTCTGAGGTGAAATGGCTAAATGGCTTGTGTTTTGCTCTAAGAGTTAACAAGAAAATTCTATCCAAGCATCCCAACTGATTAAGAAAATCAATGCTACTCAAAAAGAATTCCTTAAAAGAAATGGTCACTATTGATGGTTTATTTTTATTAAACTTAAGTTTTTAGTGATGTCAATAGGAATTCTTTCCAAATTGTATTGTGTTAGTATGTATGTATGCTGTTAATTATGTATATTCGTTCTGTGGGTATTTATAATTACTATTTTTACAACTTATGCATTGGAAGTTTATACAAACCAAAACCGAATTGCCTGGGCTACTAAAAGAAAAGTGCCCTTCATCATTAACAAACCGAAGTACTTCTCTAGTTGCTTACCATTCTGATTACTATTGCTGATAGTGCCATCTTCTTTCTCAGACTGGCTGTTACTACTGTTTGAGGCAGTTGGGGGAGGGGACGGTGCTCGACTAGACGCAGCACTTTCACTTTCATCTAGAAGACGATCCATATAATCCCTTAAAATTAAGTGAAATAAAAGTTACTTTCTTATATTAAAAAAAGCTGAAAATTAAAATTGAGGTTAAATTTAGAAGGCTTTATTAAATATGTCCTAATTTTCACTTACATTCATTCCAGTGCCTCATCTACCCCACCAGGATCTGAACATTTAAATGGAAAGCTCCTTTTGGTTACATGTTTGTTGGAAAAATGTATAAGGGCTTTAAGCTAGCAAATTTTAGATACCTATAGGAAGTTTTAAAACTTTTAAAACTATAGGCAAGTGCTCAGAGTGGCCCAATTAAAATCAGTGGTTCTGTAAGTGAAGAGAGGGATGGTACCAATCAGGAGTACAGAAGAATTTCTGCACAAAGAAAGACTGAAATTTTAAAGCTCCTAACGACTATGTGATGGCTGTAGCAACACCTGGAAGACAAATCAGGGCCTACCAGTGAATCACTTCCCTGAACTTTCCTGGGTATCTTCTGTATTACCTTTCTGCTAGATCTGAGCCATAAAAAGGCTAAATTCCTGAGCTTATCTGCTGGCTTTGTCTGCCAGCATACCATTAGAGGTGAACTCACTTCTTCCCTAAGTTATTCCTGAACTGTATGGCATGGGAGTACAGCTGTATTAAGTGACTTTGGGTTGGGGTTAGAAGAGCTGGGCTAAAATACTTATCTCTGAGGTTTAGTGTCTTTACCTAGAACATCATGTATATATCTACCACACAGAGTTGTTCCATAAGACGTGTGCAGGAAAGTGTTTTTGTAAACTATGAAGTGCTATTAAGTCATTAGAATAAAGGTCAGCAAACTATGGCTTGTGGGCTGGTCACCAGTTTTGTGAATAGTATTTTGATGGGACATAGCCACATCCACTCATCTATGACTGCTTTTGCCCAACAGCAGAGCTGGGTGGTTGCAAGAGAACCAAAGGCCCACAAAGCCGAAAATATTTACTCTAGCTCTTTATGGAGAAAGTCTGCTGATACCAGTGCTGGACTCATGCCCCAAAGGCAGGAATTTTAGTCTTTTGTTCACCACTGCAGCATCTGTGCCTAAGTTGTGCATGGCACAGAATAGAAGCTCAAAAAAAAACGAAGCCATTACTTTAAAATTCCCTCAGAATAATTGTAATAGAAATACTAAGACAAATCCTTAGAATTTCTGAACAGGTAAGTAAGAATGTGTGTAAAAAGGAAACAGTGGAAAGGCTTAGGATTTTACTGAAAGTGTGGCAATAGTCTACAACAGACTATTAACTGTAGCTATAATATCAAACTACATGATCACACTGTCCCCTGGGATATGAGGATATAATAAATATAGGGACTTGAAGCTTTCAACAGTCTGAGGTACAAAACACATATCAAAGAAATGTATATAACCATGAGCTAATCAATTTACCATTCTAGGCCTCATTTTCCTTGCCTATGAATAGAAATAAATGGTGTTTTAGTCCCCCCTCCAGCTTTATGCCATTTATCATAATTCCAGAACAATTATGTAACAAATTTGAAACACATGGAAATACAAATGAGTATGAATGCAAAGGAATTTCAGAGGCTAGGACTAATAAGAACAGATGATACATGATGAGGAATTGTTGGAAATAAATTTGGTATGGTAGGGATGGATAATGGAGGATGTGAAAAGCCAAGCAAAGGAAGCTAGAATTGACTAGATACTGCAATGATACTGTAAAAGAATTATCATTTCTTAAGGATTAATGGCATCCACAGTAAGTAAGGAAGAAGAGTCAGGTGGGCCATCCAGGAGGTCGGAGTAGCATTCAGATAACCAGAGTTATGATGGATTAACTCTTACTTTAAAAAAAAAAAAAATTATTTGCAAGGCTGTTACAGTAAAAGTCTCTAATTCGCATATGGCTACCAGTTCTTCCAGGTATTAACTAGAGAAAATCTGCAGGAAGATCTTTGCAAAGGTTGTTTATAAGGCATAAAAATGGCAAATGTGCTTCATTCTGGTGAACAAATGGAAGGTAAAAATGTAACAGAAAAATGAACAAATAACTTTCAGGACAATGTGCTCTAACTATGGATTTTGACTAAAAAAGGAAGATGAAAAAACTCAAATTTCTGTCTTATAACAATAACTTAATGTTTTGTGCACTGGAAGTGCAACTAAAAACAAGGAGGTCCTGAAAGCAAACTGAAAAGAATCTCCATGTTTATAGAAAACCACAGTTTCTCCCTGTTTGGGCAATAATTATAGTCTGGTCACAGCTTCTTATAGAAGATGTAGCACAGCTAAAAGGGATAAAGAAGAATAAAACATTACAGTTCTGTCAGTTAAAAAAAAAAAACAAAACTTTATGAAACATCTACAGGGGACATAACTGAAGCCTACAAAAACCACCATATTCTCGCCTAGGGGGACAAAAACACATTTGTTCACTTCCTACCATTATACCAGGGGACCACTGTAAAAATCTTAAAGCATGAGAAAAGAGATAATATGGGATTACTTTTAACTGCAGCTACTCCACCTACTGAATACTTAACCTTAAGAGGAATCAAGGTTACAGATATAAGGATCTTCAAAAAGCTTCCAGAAGCTATGGAGAGATTATTAGAGAAACTCAAATGTTTGGCCGCACATCCCTACCTAACCTGTTGAGCTTGACAGCACAGAGGACCAACTAAGCCAGCCCACAACACTTCCCTTGGTGATGCTTTCTGAAAGAGAAAACTGGATGAACCATGGGTCTGACCCAGCATGGCAATTCTTATGTTCTTACTGCTGGTGACGACAGATTGCCTGTAGTTCGTGTGTGAACATTATTTCTGAAATGGGTGAAAAAAATGAAAGATGTTACTATTGCTTTTCCCTATAGAATAGCTTGAAAACTGACTATTTTAAGATATACTCTGAAGACTAGATCACTGTATCTAGTTCTACATCATTATACCTCAATATTACCAATAAATCACCAAGAAAAAAATTTACTATAAATTTATAACATTAAGCAATTAGATAAAATTTGGAATACTATGTATGAAATTCTACTCTAGCCATCATGAGCTTTGAATAATGGGGGATGAGGCACAGAGTCCAATGTCCCATGATTTCCAGGGGCAATCATACCCATTTATTCCCTTTTAGATAATTCTGCTTTGGATTTTAGAGTGTTTAATTCTCCAGGGAAGTGACCAGCAGAGACACCTGTAAATGAACATGACCAAGAAACAGTCTAGCCTAGGAGTTTGCAAAGCACAGTCAAATATGCATATAAGCACTTCTTTCAAAGGCAGTTATTTGGCCCACCCTAAGAACTTTATTGGTCCACACTGACCAAATGAAGTTACAACTTAGCATTATTTTTATTCTGTAAACAGCAGGAAATAATCAAGGATAGAATGGTAAAGTTTAATTCCAGCATTTTAGAGCAACTCAACGAGAGACAAAAGGTTCATTCAATACTCTATGGACTTAAGTAACAAACTACCAGTGGCAGCAGGGACAGTTTTTTTCCAAAGCTAGACTGAATGAGGCTAAGAGATTTTGGTGCACGGTGACTGGTACAGGCATACAAGGCATTTTGCATGAAGACTACATATAACAACTCATACTCCCGATTTCACTGGGAGTAAGCTAAAGTTGCAGGACTAATTATTAAATATTTCTGTTAGGGGAAAGGTTTCAGGAAATCTGGGAAAAGGGAAGTCACCATGGACATGTTCTCTCCTCTTTAAAAAACTTTGTAACAAGAAAATGAAATTTGACCAGATTTATTATCTCTATGTCTTTTCCCTTTTATATCATCTATACCCAAATCTTATTTTGGTTCCTGAGATCAAAAGTAGACAGGACAAAGAAAAATACTAATTTCCATTCCTTTTTAAAGGGCCTCTATTAGGCATACCGTATAGCTTTTGAAAAGTCTTTTTCCTATTCTCACTGTGCTCACAGTATTATTAGATTAAAACTATGTGCTTATACTGAATGGAACAGAAATTAACAAAAACATGCTTTAACAGCTGTTATGATCCATTTCCTTTCCTGGAAACATACTCTAGTATTTGCTTTGAGGTATTTATTGTCTCAAGCAATATGAATTGTAGTTTATGTTTCGTAAGACACTGATAAGTCTAAATGCCCTATGAAAATATGTCTGTAAGTGGATAAATTTAAACTATTGTAAACTTTTATCCTACTGGAAAATGAAGATACTAAAAATTACAATTTTCTCAAAAAATTCAAGGGCAAAAATATATATATGACTCAACAGAAAAAATAAACTCACGTTACACCAGGATGAAGATTATATTTCTTTTTTCCAAATCGTGTTTGCTGAGCAAAGAAATCGTAACGTTCAGATTTTTTCCACATATAATAGAATGCTACACATTCACCAACTGACCTTGTTCGAACCTATGAGAAACAAAACACTTGTTTTTAAGAATCATCTCTTCCTTAATGGAGTTATTTCATGAAAAATATTTGAAGTCTGAAAATAAATTTGTATGTACCTTACGTAATATATAATACATTGTATAAAATATACAACACTGCAGCAGCTTTGTTAAAAGCTACTCTTTCCAAACTCCCATTGAGAGAAATAATACACTGGCAACAAATCTTCAGATATTTAGCATTACGCTTTTTAAAAAACTATCATCTTAATTTACTATAAACACTCCTCTATTGAAAATATCTGGAAGTGGCATTTGAGCTAAAATTAATGTTATAAACAGTTTGCAAATACTTTTACTCACAGGGTACCTAGGGAGTCTACCTTTAAATTCCCATTTAAAAGATTCTCTTAGTAGTCCCACCAGTGACCCAGACTCAAGTTATTTTATTGTCTAGAAAGGCTGAGAATATTCCACAGTGAGCTGAAAAGTATTATAATGATGCCAATTCTAATTTGTTGTTCACTAAGTTACTCCAGTAACTGTGCTCTATTTGTGTGAATAAATGATTCCCCTTCCATAAACGTTCAGCACCAATGGGACTGGCAAATGATGTGGACAACTTCCCTCTTTTTGCTACTTGGCTTGGAGAGCTGTGGTAGGGTTGATATGTATAATAAAGTACTGGGAGTTTAAAAGAAAAAAGCTACTACCTGCATGAGTGTTGGGATGTAAGACCATATTGCTTTAAACCCATAAATTTCTAATCCTGAAGTAGGTATCCTGTAGGACTGATTGCACCTAAAGTCAATTTGATGATCTCATTTCACTACCTGACATACATTTTTCTTTCTTCCCTTATGCTTGCACTTTACAAATCTGGCCCATCTTGCTCTAAGACTGAAAGCTATCAACGCTTTTTTTTTTTTAATAATCTCAAGCTCTTTTTTTGCCTCCTTTAGAATCTAATTTCTATATAGACATAAGCCAAGTCAACTGTACTTTACTGAAAGCAAAAACTGGAAATAAGTTCTTACTCCCTAAAAAAAAGGGATTCCTTGGGGCTGCTAGCTATCATACTAGCTTATCACTCCAGGAGTCCCCTCCATAGATAATCCAGCATGGTTTGGTTAATATAGTGTTTTAATCCAAGCAGGAATGCTAGAAAACTCTCATCCCAAAATGTTGCTCTATTCAACCATGAAACAATTTATTTTTTTGTTTTTCACAATCAAACATACATGTCCAGGCATTACTATAATGCACTCCTTTCACAGAATATTCCCTATGCTGGAGGTAATCAGATGATTTGGACACAACATTAAGGGGTAGGATCCATTTTTGACACCAATTCTAAGACTCAAAATTTCTTATTAGTAGTTGTGTCTGATGTCAATACCAAAATGCAACAAGATAATCAAGAATAAACTAGTTAGGGGCACCTGGGTGGCTCAGTTGACTGAACATCCGACTCTTGATTTCAGCTCAGCTCATGATCTCAGGGTCGTGGGATCAAGCACCATGTCAAGCTCCGCACTGGGTGTGGAGCCTGCTTAAGATTCTCTCTCTCTGCTCCCCCACCCCTACTCTCGCTCTCTCAAAATAAATAAATAAACTAGTTAATGCACAACAAAATTAAGAGAAATAAACTCACAGGATTTATAAGCAACTATTTACAGAACATAAAATATTCAAACAAATTAAGTGGACACCAATCACATCCAGAAGTATAAAAATAAGAATGTGGTAACAGACTATTTAGAACTTAATCAACAGCATCCTAGACAAGCCATCACTCGAAACTTAGATGCTATCTTTAAGGAAACACGTAAAGCCACACTCCTTGTCATTTCTTTTTGCTAAAAATGTGATATTTTCATAAACCGAGAAATTACTTCGTTTCCTCCATTTAAACTCTGAGATTTTAATTGTGCACATCCTAATTTCCCACAGAAACAACACATTTTTCTATTCTATATAATTGTATAGTTCCTATTAAAAATCTAACCTGATTTTATTTTTAAGAGAATTAAACCTAAAAATAAATCTGGAAGTAATTATGAAGTTCTTTTGGGTATATGCTGACACTGTAAAAAAATTGATATTAATATGAAATAAACAAATCATGTTAAATAAAATTGTCAAATTATAAAATTATAATGTATAATAAAGCTGATTTATTAAGATATTCTTCTGGAAAATTAAATTTTAATTAAAGCCAAATTAAATATTAAGTATCTGATTTTAGACTTAAATAAATGTAGAGATATTTTAATTGTAAATAATGTCATGTTAAAAACATTTTAAAGTTTCAAATTATTTGTAACACCAGTCCTTTAAAAAATCTGTCACAAGTTTGTGGAAAAAAGCCTTAAGTAATTACACTGTATACACACATCCCACCCAGAAGTTGATTAACATTTCTGCAAATCAGTCCAAACTTAAAGGCTCCTAATATCATGCACTGAAAACAGTCACTGCTAAACAGATCCCAGAAAATCTAGGCAAGTTTATAATTCCCTAAAAATCAATATATTAAAACATTATAGAACCATTAACATTTGAAAGTAATAAAGATATAAGATGATCTGGGTTAACTAATTATCTTTTTATAAAAGAGAAAACATTATCATTACTTACTTTATTAGCCTGAATCAAATGAAAATCCTTTCCATAGGCCTTTAGCCCTTGTTCAAAATTTCTACACTCTTCTTCTGTCCAAACAGATAATTCCTCTGACAAAATGAGGGAGAAAACTATTAAAGCAATTTCCCCCTAAATATTGCATAAATAGTTATAAATAAAAATGTAAGTTTCTAATAACGATAAGGGAAGTATGTTACTCCTGAGCTCTATTATTGATGGGTGCAAAGGATGAAGTGACAAAAATTCTGTATTTAATAAAATTTTGGATGATTTGGTCCCTAATTCTTCAACCTTACCTTGGACTTTCTCCTTTATGACCTAATTATACTAGCCACCTTTCAATTCCTAAATTCACTATGTTCTTTCTCACTTTAGATTTTGTGATGCTGTTCCCTTTGTCTAGAATCATTTTCTGCCTCACCCCCTTTTCACCTAATTTGTTTACATTCTAGCAAAAATACCACTTTGTTCTATAAACTTTCCCTAACAGCCTCACTCTTTCCCCAAATTAGGTTAAGTCCTACTGCAATAAATTTGAAGTATACCCTCTAATTCTCCTTGGAAGAACTCATAACTATTTTTCAGCTTCCCTACCTAGCCTCTAAGCACCATGAGGGCAGGACTCTGTTTACAATTATGTCCTCAGAACTTAGCAGGTCCTCCAATTTTTGTTGAATGAATGAGTAAGTATCTTGTTTGTTATGCAATGTTATATAATAGTGTTCTTAGTGAAGCAGGGTAGGAGCCAGTTTACAGTAAAAAAACTGGATTTATTTTAGTTATGACTTCACTGCTTATAAATTATGTTTGCCCCAGCAAAGGTACTTCAGTTCAGAGACCTCAGTCTCATCATTTTTGAAAGTAACAACTGTCACACTCCAGAGTTCATAGGGCTATTATTAACAAGATCAAGTAAGAAAATATTTAATAAAAATGCCTTGAAATTGAAAGGCGTTATGTATTTTTATTTTAATTGCCTTATTTTCCCATAAAGAACAGCCTTAATCCCATTTCCCATAATGCTTGTGTTATATACAAGTTATTTAACAAGTTACAAGTTATTTATTATTCAGCAGATATTTACTGATTTCAGAAAGATCAGTATTATTATTAAACTTAGGATATACCTACGTAGACTGAAGATCTTAAGCTTATTTTCTGCTAAGTCATGAAAACAAAAATGCATTATTTACGTTTACCTCTAGCCGCTTTTACATTAAATCTTAATCTTCTCAATGCTTCTTCTGTGTCAAAATTGCATTTAACCAACTCATATAATGCCTAGAAAAATAAAAGGCATCAGTATGTGACCAAGACTATGAAAAGTTCAAGGCTACAATTTCTTAAAAAAGTAAAAGCTTTTCCTGAATCCAGTATTTCTTTTCATCATTTCTGGAAGACAAATAATTCTAGTGAATGAAACACAGAGAGCACTAAAGAACAACAAATTCAATCCTGATAATTAACACTTCTACATGCTTAGAAAACAGGATAAGCAAATACTCTAACTTGGAAGCCATAGTACCTCAGAAACTTAAAAATGAAAAAAACTATTTTATAAAAATCACAAAACCCTTCTTTTTGGCTTTTTGTGGTTCCTATTGTAATTTAAAACAAATCAGAAAGAAAAGCATTGATGAAAAAAGGTTAAAAAAAAAAAGATAATGCTGTTTTTAGGTTCACAGTAGGCACTGGTCTACTATATCCCTGATAACTTCATTCCAGGTATGTATTCCCTAGTTGATGATATCTATACATTCTTAGGGATATCCAAAGGAACTTCAAAAATCCTAATAAGAAGTATATACAGGCAAAATGAGATACCATTTTTGTTTATTTTAGCTGAAATCATACTAGTGAAGTGAGTGTGTACGCTAGTTTTTTCAGATTCCCTGTGATGACAGTATAGGAATTTTGGTGGCTAGAATAATAACAGTGAATGTGACAGCATTTACATCTATAAATGTAAATATATAAAAATATATATGGTTAATTTATGTTGGGAAAACTTTTATTTCTGTTTTAAAACTGAACTATATAGTATAGAACTGTATTACATTAGCTCCAAGTGTACAACATCGTGACTGGACAACTGTACACATTACACTATGCTCACCACAGGGTGAGTCACCATACAAGGCTATCACAATACCACTGACTATATTCCCTATGCTGTACCTTTCCTCCCCATGACTTATTCATTCCATAATGAAACAGTTACTTCTTACTCATATACCTGTTCATTGTCTTTTATGTGAGATCCTTCAGGAATTGCTTCTACACCTTTCTCATCACCTGTTCTTCTAGATGCATCCTTAAGAAATACAATCACTTTATCTTCCGGTAAGTACTCAGGGTCCCACAGGAGCTGATCATCATTTTCATACACTAAATTAGTAAAACATAATGTTAAAAAAATGCCAAAAATTGTTCAAGTTTGTGTTAAACCACTCTCACTGACCAAATAACTCACACTTAGGAGCCAAAATGTTGATTATCGAGAGGTAAAATGTGGTCCTAGTATTTGTCTAACTTTGTTCTTGGACATTTATAGCCTAAGTGATTTAAGCAATCTGAACAGAGAAATACCATTTGATAGCTCTTTCATAGCAAAGCTAAGATGACTTAGCTTGAGTTTACCAAGTCCAAGCTCTCTTCATTTGAAAAGCACCACCACCTCTTACTATCTGTATGACCTTGGGCAAGTTACTTCCCTGCTCTCTGCCTCATCTGCAAAATTGGGATAATAACACTATCACATACAGGGTTGTAAAGATTTAAAGCACTTTACAACAATTCTGGCACATATTAAGGTTCAATGGATGCTAGCTATAATTATTAATTTTTGAAATAGGAGGTCTAAAGGAATGTGCACCAAATGTCAACATGGTTTATTTCTTGGTGGTTAAGATTTGGGATCATTTTTCTTACTTTCATATATTTTTCTATGAAGCTTAAAAATGCATTATAATGAACATAAATCATTTTCATAAAACAAGAGTCTTTCTTAAAAAAAGCATTTAGCTTTCATCAGAATTTCCATTAGAACAAGATTAAAGCCTCAGTGCCATCACAATTTTAAAAGTGAAAGGAAAGGAGGAAAGCCTAAGATGAAAGCCTTGTACAATTCCAAATGACAGGTAGATGGAAATGTAGACAATATTAAGGAATAGTCACAAGATAGAAAAAATACCAGAAACGTGGCACCATTGCAGCTAGGGGAAGAAAAGGTTTCAAGGAGTACTAGACTGGTTAAATGCTGTTAAATGGCCAGTATGACAACTGAAACAGGTACGCTGGCTTTACTAACAAGGAGGGGAATGTTTCAAGAGCTGTTTTTGTGCAGAGACGGAAGCCCAGGCCACACTGGAGATGACTGAAGAGTAAATGGAAGGGGAAGAAAGAAAGGAGAGAATTCTTGAAAAGTTCAGTTGTAGGGGAGGACATGGGGGTAGCAGCCAGTGAGGAAGTATAGTTGAAGAAAGTTTCTGGTTTTGTTGGGTTTTTAAACACAGGCGACAATGATTTAAATGCCAATAGGAAGGAGCCAGCTGAAGAAAAACTGTGAATTTAAGAGATAGAGGATAACTGATAGTGTCAAAGTTCCTTGTGTTATAAAAAAGGAATTAGGAGCTAATTAAGCATCTCCAGTGTATCAGGCACTATGTTAGGTGTTTTCATATAAATTATCTTGTCTCACACTCCACCCCAACTACACACATACACTTAAAAATATCCTTCTACCTTTCTGTTCCCCAAAATAGATACTCTTCAAAGTACAAGGACAGAGGAAAAGATGGCAGAGGAGTAGGGGACCCTGTTCCAATCTGTCCCTTGAATTGAGCTGGATACCCACCAGACCACTCTGAACACCCACGAAATCAGCCTGAGATGTAAGAAGATATATCTGGATCTCTACAAACAGAATATCGCAGGCAGTTGGTTTCGAGGTATGAATTGGGGAGCCATAATTCCCCAGGCACATATCCGAAGATAAACGGAAGGGGGAGGGAGCTGTGGGGATCCTACACCGCCAGTGAGCAATAGCCTCCTGTGCTGCGGACGGGGCACAGACTCGCAGACTGGTAGCGGCGGGGAAAGGACTTCAGGGCAGCCCCTGGGGTGGAAACCTGGAGCGGTGGGTCGTGCACGTGAACTGGGGGCAGCTGGTGGTTTTAGAAGCACAAAGGGCAGAGACATGCCCCGACCTGGAGACGAGGACTGGGAGTGCTGCGGAGGGGCTCACACCCCAGGACGCTGCAGTTTATAGCAGCACAGACAGAAACAGAGAGTGTGGCCTGGAGAGCTCAATGAAGAAGACTGTGATCTCTCTGTTCTGAGGCAGACGGAAACGGTCTCTTCTGCTCTCAGAAGAGATGCAGAAAGCCACCAAGGAAAGCCGCCAGAGAACAAAAGCCCCCAAAAACGAGTTTTCACTGAGCCCATCCCCCTCCACAGCATGGCAGGGCAACTCTGCCCAAACAGCGCTGCCTGAGTAACAGTGCAGCCGGCCCCTCCCCCAGAAGACAGGCTGGGAGAACAAGAGGCCAACAACCCTAAGGTCCCTATAAGACAGGAGCATCTTGCTTGGGTCGTGGTCAATAATCTGGACTCTGTACATTGCCTCAACCACCCCTCAACAGAAGGACTAGGAGGAGGAACCCTCAAAATAGGAAAGACTCAGAGACTGACTTCTGCCACAGATTTACAAATGGATAGATATAACCAAGATGTCGGAAATGGACTTCAGGGTAACAGTTATGAAGACAATAGCTAGAATGGAGAAACTGATTAATAGCAACATAGAGTCTCTAAGGGCAGAAATGAAAGCTGAACTGGCAGAACTTAAAAATGCAATCTAATCTAGATACTCTGTTAGGGTAAACAAGGCAGAAGAACGAATTAGTGATCTAGAAGACCAATTGAGACAAGAAGGGAAAAGAGGCAGCTTGGGAGAAACAGCTCAAAATCCATGAAAACAGAATCAGAGAAGTAAGTGACACCATGAAACGTTCCAATGTCAGAATTATTGGGATCCCTGAGGAGGTGAAGAGAGAGGACTAGAAGATATATTTGAGCAAATCGTAGCTGAGAACTTCCCTAATCTGGGGAATGAAACTGACAACCTGAATAGGCCAATAACCAGTAATGAGATTGAAGCAGGGACCAAAAACCTCCTAAAAAACAAGAGTCCAGGACCTGATGGATTCCCTGGGGAATTCTACCAAACATTCAAAGAAGAAATACTACTATTCTCCTGAAGCTGTTTCAAAAAAATAGAAACAGAAGGAAAGCTTCCAGACTCATTCTATGAGGCCAGCATTACCTTAATCCCCAAACTAGGCAAAGACCCCATTAAATCGGAGAATTTCAGACCAATATCCCTGATCAGTATGGATTCCAAAATTCTCCACAAAATCCTAGCTAATAGGATCCAACAATACATTAAAAGGATCATCCACCACAGCCAAGTGGGATTTATCCCCGGATGCAAGGGTGGTTCAACATTCACAACTAATGTGATAGAACACATTAATAAGAGGAGGCAGAAGAACCATATGGTCCTCTCAACTGATGCAGAAAAAGCATCTGACAAAATATAGCATCCTTTCCTGATTAAAACTCTTCAGAGTATAGGGATAGAGGGGAACATTCCTCAAGTTCATAAAATCCATCTATGAAAAACCCACAGCGAATATCATCCTCAATGGGGAAAAGCTGAGAGCCTTTCCCCTAAGATCAGGGACACGACAAGGATGCCCACTCTCGCCACTATTGTTCAACATAGTACTAGAAGCCCTAGCAACAGCAATCAGACCACAAAAAGAAATAAAAGGTATTCAAATTGGCAAAGAAGAAGTCAAACCCTCTCTTTGCAGATGACATGATACTTTATGTGGAAAATCCAAGACTCCACCCCCAAACTACTAGAACTCATACAGCAATTCAGTAATGTGGCAGGATACAAAATCAATATACAGAAATCAGCTGCTTTCTTATACACTAACAATGCAACTGTAGAAAGAGAAATTAGAGAATCGATTCAATTTACAATAGCACCAAAAACCGTAAGATATCTTGGAATAAACCTAACCAAAGAGGTAAAGGATCTATACTCTAGAAACTACAGAACACTCATGAAAGAAATTGAAAACACAAAAAGATGGAAAAACATTCCATGCTCATGGATCAGAAGAATAAACATTGTTAAAATGTCTATGCTACCCAGAGCAATCTATACCTTCAATGCCAACCCGATCAAAATTCCAATGACATTTTTCAAAGTGCTGGAACAAACAATCCTAAAATTTGTATGGAATCAGAAAAGACCCCGAATCGCCAAGGAAATGTTGAAAAAGAAAAACAAAGCTAGGGGCATCACGTTGTCTGATTTCAAGCTATATTACAAAACTGTGATCACCAAGACAGCATGGTACTGGCACAAAAACAGACATATAGACCAATGGAACAGAATAGAGAGCCCAGAAATGGACCCTCAACTCTATGGTCAAATAATCTTCGACAAAGCAGGAAAAATTATGCAATGGAAAAAAGACAGTCTCTTCAATAAATGGTGCTGGGAAAATTGGACAGCCACATGCAGAAGAATTAAACTCGACCATTCTCTAACACCATACACAAATATAAACTCAAAATGGATAAAGACCTCAATGTGAGACAGGAATCCATCAAAATCCTAGAGAAGAACATAGGCAGTAACCTCTCTGACATCGACCACAGCAACTTCTTTCAAGATACATCTCCAAAGGCAAGTGGAACAAAAGCAAAAATGAACTTTTGGGACTTCATCAAGATAAAAAGCTTCTGCACAGCAAAGGA